CTCTATAATTATTGCAGACCTATTACTAAAGAAGAAAAGGAACAGGAGAATAATAAAAAATCCATACCAATAAGTAAAGCCACACAAAAATCCCGAGTTCCTGGCCATGCCCATATGATTGATAATAAAGATGAGATTTCCGCACTGCCAGCTCGTTTTAGCAATATACGCCATCATTTGGAACGCACCACTGGTCCTGGTATAGAATTTATAACTCATATGCATTTTCATTATCATACAATGGTATACCACATACACACACATAGATACTAAACTACATATACAAATATACATGTATTAATGCTATACAAATAAAGAGTAGTAAGGGCTATTCTGTTGCCAAAATTTTAATTTAGAGGTAAATAATTTTTTGGTATGTACCTACATAGATTAAAATAATTTAAATAAGGTAGGATAGATTTAAATAAGGATAGAAAGTCAATATTTTTTTACTTATGGTGTGAAATGTTAAGTTTCGAAAAATTATGCTCAAATTATTTTACACTCGTGAATTGAATTTTTATCAATGTAATAGAAAATTGTGAATTAATTGAATCCGCATTCCCCCATAAATTCTATATTTTAATTGCACTTAGTCAACCTTGCAAATTCAACATTTCAAAGTCCCACACCTGTACAGCAGTCCGAGCATAAGGTAATCCACTCATTCTCTCGTGGAGTCTGAAACTGCCAAGACACTGCCAGTTAAGCTATCATATTTGTAAAATTGGACTTTCTGTGGATAGAAACTTCTAATTTTATGGTCTTATGCAAAAATTTAAAGACTATATAGACGTTACGTTATTGCCACGTAGCTGGCAACGAGATTGCATAAACCTATTAAATACCAACTTTTCTGCATTAATCAATGCCTTGATTCAAAATGTTTTATGAAGTTTGTAAAATAAAATGCTTTCTGATTTTGGCGATAAATCTTGTTCCCGATCATCCTTAAATACAGAAAATATGAGTTTGGGGGGAAATGGAAAACTTAGATTTTTCTAAGTAGCAATTCGAACAACAGGTATTAAAAACTCTATAATCTGACTTTGCAGCGACAATTTCGTAGATATAGTAGATATATCGATCAATTCTTAAGAGACAGAGTAGCACATATCGCAATCTGCTCCTGCTCTGGGATCCAGTTCTGGTCATCCATTTCACTACACATTTCGGTGTGGCATTTTGACCTGAAATTTCCTTTCAAAGCAAATTTCTTTTGGCATAGTGTCGGAGAACTTGCAGATTCCTAGAGCTAGTGTGGCCAAGGTGTAGAGCCATCATTTGGAGTTTGTTGGAGTTGTTGAGAGAGAACCAATATACCTTCTTGTAAACGGTACCAGAACAGTCTTTTGCGAGTTCATGCGGAGGCCCTTATTGGCACACCAGTTTGATATCAACCAACAGCGGCTTAACCACTTTTCCACGACGAGAGATCAGAGTAGGGGAGAAAGAACACGTCCCAGTGGGAACCCTCTTATGGCTCCGATGTTCACGGAGCTGTAGCCTAGGGACGATGTGATATCACGCTCACTTAGTATGGTGACGATCTTCGACAGGGATCTAAATTCTAGTAAAAAAACGTCTAGATTTAAAGTGGCTAAGAATTCAATTTGATTTTTGATAATTATTTTTTTGCTGACGATGTTCTGTTCTGCGATACCAAACAATTTTCGAACATAGTAACTTTGTGTGGAAAAAAATAAGGTAGACACATAAAATTACCACTTTATTATAAGATGTTTCTAAAAATAAAATAAAAAAATTGTTGTAAAATTTTCTCGAAATTTTAAATTTGTGTACACTTGAAAGTTACTTCAAATTACTCAGTTCCTTTTCCATAAGTTAAAGTTTTAAACATATACAAATAAGTATAAATCGAATAAAGAAGGCAAAGTATCTGCACACCTACTAAATATTTGCTTTTATACTCGAAGATAAATGATGACACGAAATCTTGTGCACTACTTTCAGTCAATGAAAACTTAAGCAGTTCATCCGTTAAACATCAGATCATTTTCCGGCGCCTATCTTTCTGTATTCTATTTAAACTCCTCCATTTGCTCCTTTTTCAATCAAGGTTGTTTTTATTTAGCAATTATTTTTTACAGTGTATGTAAATCAAATTTTTTTCAAAAGTGACTCGAAGTAAATAATTGCGTCAAGATATTCAGCTAAATATCACTTTATGGCTTTAATTTCCCCTAAATCTATTTCCTTCTTAACTCTTTGCTAAAGCTTCTCTTAGCTCCATAATTTTTTTCTTTTTATCAATCATTTTCACCCCATTCCAATCCACTCCACACCATTCCGTTTCATTTTATTAGTGTTCAAACGAAATTGTAACATGCAATGCATTACCATTTCGATTTACAACGAAAGCTCTTCAAATGGCAGCAGGATAGTCTCATCTTGTAAAATTCCCTACTCACACTCCATTACTTTCTACTTTTTACAGATGTTGAGGAAGGTGCACTTTTGCCATCGCCTACACGCGAGAAATTGATGCCGGCTATCACCAAACGTGAGTCAGAATCACAACGTGGCAGCCCAAAGAAAACAGCTGCCTCTCGCCATGGTTCACCACAGAAGGGTAGTCCACAAAAAGGCAGCCCCAAGAAGGTGATCAAAAGTAAGTACGAAAATGTTGTTTATTTGATTTTTTTTTTTTTTGCTACAAAGAAACACTAGCGCAAAAAGGCACACTGCACAGTGTGTGTGTGTGTGTATGTGTGTGCTGTTCAAACACTTCCTCCTTTACATATAAAATCGAGCAAACCTATTAAAAAATCAAATGTGAAATTCAAATTATGAAAGTGAGAGTACCAAAGTGAAAGTCCAAAAAATGAACCACAAATTGCAAAACACGCACTGGAATTTGTTGAAAATTAGTTCACAACATTCCCGAAAACACGAAAACCAAACACCGTGTAACTTTTACAATTCTTGATTTTAACGTGGGCCAGAAGTATAAACTATCCAAAATTTAGTTATTATCTATTTGAATTTTAATTATTATTTTTTTCTTTTTATTTTTGCACATGTGATAAAAAAATGTGAGCAACAAAATTTCGATAGTAAAAAATGTTATACGAATTGAGTTACTAAACTGATTGATAAGCGTGCTGTTAAATTTTATTGAAATAATTGTTTTTCCCTTTTTATTTTAGTTTGCACTTCTATTTGTTAAACCTATATTGCAATATTTGCAGTTTTTGTTGCGCAGAATTTATATACTTCGATTTGTTTGAATATGTTTTTCTGATATATCAAAAAGCGTTTGCAATGCCGAAAATATTTATGAAAAAAAAATAAATAAAAAAAATATATTCGCAATATTTATCTACACTTTTGCTGTGCTTGCTTTTTTTCTTTGAAATGCACCACATTACCTACACACTATGTTAAAAAAAAAACTTTTATGCAAGACTATTTATAAATTCTTCTACACACCTACACAAGTAGCTTATAACTGCATTTAAGTAGTGGAACTATTTATGCCGAATACGAATAACTGTTACGTGTTCAAAGGAGCTTATTGGAGCAAAGGAGCATAGGAGATAATTTAAATCAATTACAATATACACATAGCATGAGCCAATACGCTATTGAGCTCAAGATATAGAATATAAAGTGTATATATATACATACTTATGTATATTGTGATATTTATTCTTATTAAGAAATAATTTTTCATATTCACCCATTCAAACATCTTACATAATTTGCTTTTTTATCTGGCTTCATTGACTGATTAAAATCAAACGAAATTTATTTTAAAACTGATGCTGAAATATTTTTACTTCAATATTTAGTATTCAATTTTTTAAATTATTTTTTTAGTCATATATGTATGTATGTAAATAATAAAGGTTTTAGAAGGTAAAGAGAATTCGCTCCAGCGTTTAAAATTTATATGCATATGTGTACCCATGACTGCTCTTTTAAGTCTGGTATTAGCAAAAATATTTGAAATTCTTTTGCTAAACGCTTTCAGTAAAGATATACATAATCTCTGACATTTCTATAACTGAAGACCTAAGAAAACTCGATTAATTTTAATATCTTAACTAAGTTAAAGCCAATCGCCATAAAATAACAAAAACCATATCGAGCAAGGCATATGAAACAGGAATTAGCAATAGAGGAAAAACCAGATTTACCTGTATTTGTTGTTGCCATTCACATTCATAAATAACTTAGGTTATAGATTGAACTTTAATTTCATCTAATTACGACTTTTTTATAGCAATTTCAGGAATAGTTAGTGACTATTTCAGGATCATGCTGTGTCTAGTTCTGAAGTGGTTCCGAAAGAGTCGTGTGCACTTGTACCGGAATGATCTTGAGCAGGTTCCGAAATTATCCCAAACTGGTTCCAAGATGATCGCGAAGAAGTCCCAAAATCGTTATGAAATAGTCCCAAAATGTGCCCAAACTAGTCGTGAACTAACCTAAAAAATTTTGATTTGTACACGCAAGAAGCAATTATAGATTTTTTCGTGAATGTTATCCATACTAAGTGCTAAGATGTTTACACATCAGAAATTGAGATTAAAAACAATTAAAAATTGGTGCGATTCTCTTTCTTGGCACATATGTATATGTATGTTTGTGTCGGAAGTATCGATCTATCCTTTGCAATGACCAGAAATCAATGTTTGGGCTGCTGAGTTAAGCGAACGCGCCAAAAGTTCGTTTTCCAACGCTTCCTTTTATTAAAAAATATTTGACATGCAAACACATTTGGTAATTTAGAATTTTTGTAAAAATAAATAACAATTCTTAATATTTTAGAAACCTAATATGTGATCTAAAAAAAAAATAAAATAAGCTTCTCTACTGCTACCACCTGTTCAATATGTCTTCATACTGGGTATTCGTTCTAAAATTAAAAACAAAACAAATTGTAGTTGTCTAGCTATGAGAGACAAGTGTCATGATCTTTTTAGAAGACCGTGTTACTTCATATGTATATGGGACTTTTGATTTTCAAGTTTAGAAAAAAAGTTGTACCTACGCTCAATCATCTAACTGATCCCACTTTATTTTTTGAAACTTGAAACTGAAGTTAAAAAAGGAAACTCAGTTTTCGAGCTCGGTGATACAAAACAATAAATGTTAATAATAGTAAACTAGATCAAAAATAAACAGCACAGGTGGAT